GTCTCCCCTTACAGCAACACTCAAGTTCTGTAGTATCAAGCAACTATACATATCTACACAAATTTTGACCATACTGAGATACTTTTGCCCTATTAGAGCTTCGTTCTTTTTGGATGAGACGTTAAACTCAGGGCATGTATAAATTATGATATCAATTTGAACTGCAGAGGAGCAACCCCCAGTGGCCTGGTCAAAACCCAATTCACAGTCAACATTGCAAAAGTACCATTTAGTCATTATCACTTGCTGTTCGTGGATCCTAGTGTGTTCAAATCACATGAAGAGTTTCCTAATCACAACAATGGCAACCAATTAAGTAATTCTGAAATTTAGTCAAAGTTTTGGGATGTGCTAAGGTTGTGAAATGAGCAATATAAATGCAGTTTATTTTTTACAATGTAACTTGCCTTGGTTTTTCATAATTAAGGGTGGATACATACATTTATCATAGGAAAAACTGACAGGAAATATGTAGATTAAAGACTGGGAAAAGAACTGTAAGACGACTTTAGAAACTGAAATGTTTCTTGCTGCAATTTGGTTATGAGTATCTTGGTGTACAAATGTAGGGATGGTAGCTATAAAATGTCTAAAGGCAGCCAGCAAGATGACTTAGTGAAGAGTTACTGTCAGAGCGGAATTTATAGATATTTATATTCCTATCACAGTAAGCCATTTACCACATTATTAGTGACATTACAAATTAATAACAGCATTTCACCATTTATTTTAAAAAAAGTGAAATTCATGAACACACGGGTATATCAAAACAATTATTACAAATGGTAAAAAGCTTAGAAATGCGCAAAGGGCAATATCCTATAACATTCGCATTGGTGAAAAGCAATATTGGACTTTTTTTTAACCCCCCCAATCTGTGTTCAGATAAATTGTTATGTATACCAAATCTAAAATATAAATATGAATGCACAGCATCAGCAGAAATAAAAGGAAAAGCTGATGTTTTTTCAAAAAAAAACTATAGATATGGAAGAATATCATCTCAAACCATTGACACATTAGTTCACAAACTACCACATTTGTGGAATTCAATCTTAGATTCATCATGCTGGTATTTAAACTTCCAACCTCAAGTTTTTAAGTTCAATGCCATAACCACTACAAATGCCAGACGGATGAGGTATTTGCTAGATGTTACATTAAAGATTATATTTTCGTCTTCTGTCAAATGACAAGTTCAATTGGTAGTGATGGCTCAAGTCAAGAGATAAATTTTGTTTCAAATTTACAAGATCAAGTTCAAAAGAGGCAAGCAGCATTGCATTTTGAATTGACAATAAGAAAAAGAGCTGAGTTTTTTTCCCCCACACTTAAAACTGCTATGAATAATGGGGAAAATAACTCACTAATTTCTTCACCATCAGGCAGGGTTAAAAGTGTCCGTAAATTTGGAGTTTAACTCAGGAACTGCAACGTGAAAGGACAGGCAAAAATCATGAAATTGTACAAATACCGATGGGGAAACCACATCTAGGCAGAGAGGATTATGACAAAGAAAGAAATCCCAGAAAGCTGAATAACTTTTCAGAAGAGTCACCAGACTCCAGACTCAACTCTGCTTTCTTCTCACAGATGCTGCCATGTCTGTTGAGTTTCTCCAGCAATTTTGTTGCTATATATGTACTGGTGTCTTTGCTTTGTCAAATGTCATTGGAACCATTCCTCCTTTGGCAATTCTGCAAACCCAACTGAGCAGAACAATAGAACAGTGATATTAAATGGCCCACAATTCCTCTTACTAACTCAAACAGTAAAGTGTCTTCCATTCTGTAAAGTACCAGCCATTCCTTCCCTGGCTTGCTGCTTCCTGATACACAAATGAAAATTTAATCATATATTCTACTAATGCGCAAGAATCAAAGTTTGACTTTTTGCAAACTGTTTAGATGGAAAATTTCACCAACTTGATCACCCATGCAAGACACAGAAGTATGGGAATTCTTCAATCTTCATTATATTTTAAAATTTCAAGCATGTCCAGAATACACCAGAGGACATTCACTTAATTCATCCTTTACCTAACATCTCAAAATAGGGGTTATTGGAGGGTAGCTGATTACTGGTTATCTAATGGCTTAAACTACAGATATTAACAAAAAAAAAGTGCACCATTTCTAAAGGCAATATTTACTGTTTATATATTTCTCAGTCAGGATTTCTTTGATGCACGGGGTACCTTTATATCATTTGTCTGAACAATTTGGGCTTGCAGAGAATAAATTTGACCACCCCGAGTGGTGCTTTCCAAATTACAGAACACAACATCACATGGATCTCAGTGGCAATATTCATCAGGATTGTGTGGGGCTTGGAGGGGAACTGGCAAGTGGCTTTATATTTCCCAAGTATTTTCTGGAATTGCCCTATATGGAAATGGTCACAAATTCTGAATGTACTATTCAAGTAAGATTTGAGAGTGCTGCAGAGCATCATATAGATGATATAACGCAGTCCTCCCCTGCGCCGTCGGTGAACGAACGGATATTAAAGTGATGAAGAAGGTGTTAATTAAGAGGGTTGCATTATTTTAGTTATAATAGGCTTGCTGGAATTGGAGCAATGCTCATTGAATCAAATGGATAGCATTCCATCACACTTCTGACCTGTAAATCAGAGAGGGGCTTTCAGGAATTAGGAGATGAATGACTTGAGACAGACAACCCAATGCTTGACTTGTTCAGCAGCTTGTGACACTTGAGAATGTGAGAAGAATTATATAACTGCAAGTTCTTTCTTACAAGATGGCATTAAATTTTCTTCTTGCCCAATGACAGCACAATAATCCTATTTAAAAATATGGCTTTCCCTCCTGGCAGAGAAAACAGTAAACAAACTCATCCAAATAGCAACAGTTGCACAACAAATCAACTGCAATAGACTGCAACAGGAGTTGTGTACAATGAAATTACTGGAAGATTTATTAAGATTGTAACATTGAGAGCAAAGCTGAGGTGATGTACAGATTAAGATCATCAACAATACCCAAAGATTTTAAAAAAAACCAAGTGTTCTACTATGATGCACTGATACAGATGATTTTTAAACAATAAACTCACCTGAATTATCAAATAAAAGTGAACTGAACAAGTTGAGAAATATTTAAAATGTAAGCACAATAAGTTTCATCTTTGTCAATGTCAATTGCTGTTAACGTCACTTCCCTTGATATTTTTATGCTTCATCATGATTGAGCAGTGAATAACGTACTGTCACAACTTCGCAATAAAGTTATACAAATGTCAAAAGTATTCCTCTGGAAAAAATGCTAACATAGCTGTCATCTTTCAATTCAAATACTAGCTGAAAAGCCCACATAAAAACAACAAATCCTAAAGTAATAGAAGTATTTAGCTCAGAAATCACATTATATAAAAATGCATAAGAACAAATTCTAGGAAGCAATTTAATAACAGTAATTTGTTCAGGGGTGCAGAAACATTCATAAACTAGCGATACAATTTAGGACATTTAATACATTCAAACCCCCAACGAATTACTGCTTTGAGATTTCTGTATAGTTTTGCTGACAGTATGGAGTAATCAGGTGGTTATGTAAATCAGAACTCTATGTGGGGTTACAACTTATTGCATCAGTTAAAAGTAAACCAGAAATCTATTTTTCAGTGAGCTCTTAGATTTTCCTCTTTTAGACCCCCATTACCAGTAACAATAATATCAATTATAGTATGATGAACTTCACACCTTCAAACAATGCATTCCAACCAAAAACAGCATCTTGTACCCCAGCATATTGCACAGCCACGTGCCTTAATTCAAACTCAGGTCTGCAAGTGAACAAAAATATTGCATCATCAATTTTGTTTAATTTGCTTAGAATTGCAGAAAGATCTGAAGCCGCCGAATTTAAACCATGCTTATGATGCAATATCTGCACTTGCTACAGGAACTTTAACCACGAAACGATCTCTCAACATTATAATTTAACAACTGGAATCCCCCCCAGTTCTGAATGAATTAATTTAGATTATCAGTGGTACATACAGGGACTAATTTACTAAAATTAGCAAAGATAATTAGTTGACTATACAAGAGATGCAATCAAGCTTGCCATCAAAAGCGATGAACATTAACAGAGAGCTATCTTTATATAGAACAGTACTGCAGAGTACAGGCCCTTCGGCCCATGATTTTGTGCCGACATATTATCCTACTAAGATTAATCTACCCTGCATACCCTACATTTTACTATCCTCCACGTGCCTATCCAAGAGTCGCTTAAAAATCTCTAAAGTATAGGTTATGATCAGCTTATTTATAATATTGGAGATATTTATTTGAGCAAAAAAAAACTGCATTTATAAAGAGAGCCGCCCGGGCATAAGCGCGCTCGCAGCAAAAATCCCAAAGGAGAAAGCCACAAGATAGCTGCTTCAAAACGCTCGGCTTTCAAATCGTGTGGATGAAAGCGCCAGATACTCCAAACATGACTATAAACCTACTGAAAGCATTTGCAGTTCGACATTCAAGCAGCTCCTGGGAAAGACCTATTCTTAGTATTCCCCCCTTGGGGCTGTACAAGTAGATGAGACGGGGGCGGGTCACATTTCAGTTCAGTTCGTTTCATTTCCCCTTCCTCCTCCTTGCCCGGTCCTCAGATTCCGAGGGGGATGTACAACATCTGCACCAGCCACACGGAGGGACAGCTTTCATCCAGCCCGCTGCTTGGACAGAGGGGAAACCCACCCCCCAAAAGAGTCTGTGTAGCTTCTCTGACAGCAAGCGGGATCGAAGGAGATGGAGGTGTGCGACGACCGGCGTGGGCACCATGAGCCTCTCTCCGGGCTGTAAAGAACCCTTCTGGGACACAAGCAGCACATTACCCTCCTCCTCCCCCCCGGGTTGTTTGGGGGAAACAGGTGGTGAAGGACAAATCGGTGCCGTCCCTCCCGCTCCGCCCTGACCCTCTCCACACACCACCCCCCAACTCCCAACCATTGGGCCAGGCCAGCACCACTCACCTTCAGCCACATCCTCATCCACGGCACCTTTCACCTGGGAGAAACACCACTGCAGGTCGTTAGCGCCGCCGCCAACAACAACTCCCACCCCTGCAAAAAAAAATAAAGCAAACGGAAATCGTCAAAGCGGCAGGAGGTCGGGGAGAGAGGATCTAAACATCCCTCTCTCTCTCTCACACACACACACACACCGCCACCTCTACTACTACTTCCTGGGGAAAGGAGACATTCCCGGACCACCCGCACTCACTCACCCGCCATGCCTTCCAGATTAAAGCCGGCTGCACTTCCCGGCCCTCACCCGGGGCCAGGCCAAGCCGGGCGAGGCAAAGCGAGGCGTGTCGGAGCGGCGGCTCTGTGATCCCGCCCCCGCGAATCTCAACCGCGTCCAACCGTCAGCGGGAGCGCAAGATGGCGCCGCAGTGACGTCACGGCCCCGCGCTCGTCACCTCATCACCGCCGCGCGCTGCTTGCCCCTTAAAGGGGCAGCGCCCTAATGCACAGACTGCGCTGTGGTGTGCGAACCCCCTAAAGGAGCAGCGTCTTAATGCAAGCTGCAAGGCTCTTAAAGGGGCAGCATCAGAGTGCACAGGCACTCATTGCAAGCTGTACCCATTTATAGGAACAGTGCCTTAATGCACAGGGTGCACTTCTGGCACTGTGCTTTCCAAGCCACTTAAAGGCGTAGCATACGACTGTGTAGGAAGTACTTAAAGCACCATGTGTTGCAACCTCTTAACGGAAGCATCAGGGCAATAGCCACAAGGGTAGCATATACTGCATTGCATGCTTCAAATTCCTAAAGCGGCAGTGTCAGAGTGCACAGGAGGCACTTCCAAAAGTCCCTTTTAGTGGTAGCATCAGAGTGAGGGGCACACATGCAGTCAACACTCATGATACCTCGCATGCAGCCAACTTGAGGCCGCTTGGCAATAAGAACACCAGTCTCTCTTATGATGAGCACTGCCAGTTCACAGCTCTAGGGCGGTGGATACTCATAAAGCAGAACTTAGAGCATTCAGCGCAACTGGCCTTTAAAGGACAGCTTTAGAGCAATAGACACACAAGCAATGCTTTACTGTTACAGAAACGGAAAATGCTGAAGACACTCAGTATTTTGTCAGTATCTGTAGAAAGAGAAATAGAATTAACATTGCAAGTCCGATATGATTCAGAACGGCACTTACTGTATTGAACTGCCAGACACTTAAAAGGGCAGCTTTAGGGCAGTTGACACGTAGGCAGCACGCAAATCACTGCACGCTGCAAGTCTGTTTTTGCATTATTTTGTTGGACATAGAGAGCTACTATTGCACACTACAGTCTTTCAGAGTTTCAAGGTCATTTATTATTTTAAAAAGTTAAGCACCCAAAACCACCGTGTTTTTTTTCGAGTACTTGAGCTGAGGGTAACATAGTTGCAAGTATGGAAGGGTGCCCTTAATGTATTTTCACAAAGTGGACTCTATCTAAAATCTAGTAGCAAAGGGGAGGTGAAGAATCAACTTTTGACAAGTGTAAGTAAAGCAGCCATAGTCCCTCTCTCGTATTAGAGAGACACAACTGGTGGTCGTTTGATCTGGGAGTCACACTTCAAACAGGGACAAGGTTAAGAGTTTAGAACATTCATGGTAACCTCAGTCAATACAGGAATTGAATCCACGCTGGTGCTGGTATTGGTCAGCATCACATCCTTCCAGCCCACTGAACTAACCTTTGGAATTTAGAAAGGAATCCCTATATTTATTCAGAGCCTGTATGTGACATCAGTGGAATGGATGGAGTTGAGGTAACATGATCATTAACCCCTTCAGAACTATAACCTTATGTAACTGAGGGCATTTGAAGGATATTATTAAGCCGGAGAGGGTTCAGAAGAGATTTACCAGGATGTTGCCCGGTATGGAAGTTTTGAGTTATAAAAGAAGGCTGAAACTTTTTCACTGGAGCGTAGGATGTTGACCTTTCCTTTTAGACATCTATAAAATCATGAGGGTATAGATAGGGTTAGTGATAGGTGTCTTTTTCCTAGGATGGGGCTTTCAAAACTAGGGGGACATTTTTCTGAGGTGAGAGGAGATTTATTACACAGAAGGTGGTTATGTATGGAATGAACTTCCTGAGTAAGTGGTGGATGTGGGCACATTTACAGCATTCAAAAGACACTTGGATAATTTCATGAATAGGAAATATTTGGAGGGATAGGGCCAGGAGCAGGTTAGTTTGAGATTATATTCAGCATGTACTGGTTGGACCAAAGGGTCTGTTTCTGTGCTGTATGACTCTATGACTATGATTTGAAGGGTAAAGATTTAATATGTGTGCTGGGAGAATAAACGCCATTGCAGCCATAATTACCTTTGTGCCAGGAGGCCTGAGTTAAGGTACCACACATTCTAAAAGTTATTCATAATATCTTTGAACAGATTGATCAAAAATATCTATAATTACTGCAGATGTGACATCACGGTGTTAAAATGTGTTCAAAATTTTTTAATAAATATTACAGTCATATTCATGAGCATCAGTTTTCATACTCTTTGTCGATACGTGAAGTAAACCTGCACAGTTGTGTGACCCAGCAGTAAACCTGCACAGCTGATTGCCTCTTACTGTTTAATAACAAGTACCGCTGGACATTGGAGTTTGTTTCAAGAAACATAAACAAACAGTGAACTTCACGGCTGACAATGGAGAAACCTGTGTGGGGTAGCTCACAGCAGGGGAACAGCTAAGTGATATTTTTAAAGTGTAACCCTACTGTTTTCATGGGTGAATCTACAATTGAGAGTAGAGTGAGGTTTTTTTTGATTATATGTTTTATTGAAATCTGTCACTTGATTAAACTTTACAAATATAAAACAAAGTTACCAAGTTTTCCCTGGGGAAGTGTTTTTAGAGAAGTAAGACTGTGCTATTTTCTGGGTCTGTAGATTGTTAAGGTGCAAGGATGGCCTTTATTAGTGGAGTGATGTGCTCTTCGCATTGGATGTGGGAGATTAGGGAGAGTTTCTATGTTACTGATGATTATGTCCGCAGGAAGTGTGTTTGGTTGAGGATCCTAATTGCATGGAACAGTTGGAGGAGCAGTTGGAGGAACTTACAGGAACTAGGGTGTGTGATGGATGGCAGTTGCATGTCGGTAGAAAAACCACAGATACAGTCAGGTAGATGGGTTTCCTCCAGGAAAGGTAGGAGAGCAAGGCAGGTAGTGCAGAAATCTCCTGTGGCTATCCCATCTCAAACAAGAATGCTGCTTTGGAAAATGTAAGGGGTGGGGGACTCTCAGGGGAATGTAGCACTGACAGCTAGGGTTCTGGTACCAACTCTGGCTCTAATGTATTGAGGGTTACGTCAGGTTCCAAGCAATCGATTGTGATAGACGACCCTCTAGTCAGAGGCACAGAGAGACGTTTCTGCGGCTGACAGCAAGACATCAGAATGGTGTGTTGGCTTCCTCGTGCCAGGATCAACAATACCTTGGAGAAGGTGCAGAATGTTCTCAAAGGGGAGAGTGACCTGCAGGAGGTCGTTGTACATACTGGAACTAACGACGTAGGAAGAGTAACGAATGAGATTCTGAGGAGAGAATATAGGAAATTAGGCAGGAATTTAAAAAGTAGATCCTCAAGGGTAGTAATATCTGGATTACTCCTGTTGCCACGAGCTCGTGAGAGTAGGAATAGGAGGATAGGGCAGATGGTGCAGGGGAGAAGGATTCACATTTTTGGATCATTGGAATTTCTTCTGGGCTAGAAGTGACCTATATAAAAAGGATGGTTTGCACCTGATTTGGAAGGGAACTAATATACTGTCGGGGAGATTTGCTAGGGCTACTCAGGACGATTTAACTAGTAAAGGCGGGTGGGGGAGCTGTGATCCGGGGAGATACTGAGAAAAGAGATCAGTCTGAGACTGGTCAGTTGGGAAAAGGAGTAAGCCAAATGGGCAGGCAGGATCAAAGCAGAGAACGAGGTAGGACTGATAAATTAAACTGCATTTATTTCAATGCAAGAGGTAAGGCAGTTGAACTCAGGGCTGGTTAGGAACATGGGACTGGGATATCAGAGCAATTACAGAGACATGGCTCAGGGTTGGACAGGACTGGCAGCTTAATGTTCCTGAGTATAGATCCTAAAGGAAGGAGAGAAAGGGGGGGCAAGAGAGGAAGGGTACGGTGTTTTTGATTAGGCATAACATTATGGCTGTACTTAGGGATGATATTCCTGGGAATACGTTCAGTGAAACTGAGAAATAAAAAAAGGGATGATCAGCTTATTGGGATTGTACTATAGATCCATCAATAGTCAGCGGGAATTTGAGAAGCAAACTCTTTAGGAGATCTCAGTACTTGTAAGAATAGTAGGGTAGTTATGATAGGTGATTTTAACTTTTCAAACAGACTGGGACTGCCATAGTGTTAAGGGCTTGGATAGAGAAGAATTTGTTAAGTGTGCACAAGAAAATTTTCTGATTCAGTTTGTGGATGTACCTACCAGAGAAGATGCAAAACTTGACTTGCTCTTGGGAAATAAGGCAGGGCAGGTGACTAAGGTGTCAGCGGGGGAGCACTTTGGGGCCAGTGACCACAATTCTATTAGTTTTAAAATAGCAATGGAAAAGGATAGACTGGATCAAAAAGTTAAAGTTCTAAATTGGAGGAAGGCCAAATTTGACAGTATTAGGCAAGAACTTTCAAAAGTTGATTGGAGGCAGATGTTTGCAGGTAAATGGACGGCTGGAAAATGGGAAGCCTTCAAAAATGAGATAATGGGAGTCCAGAGAAAGTATGTTCCTGTTCGGGTGAAGGGCAAGGCTGGTAGATGTAGGGAATGCTGGATGACTAGAGACATTGAGGTTTTGGTCAAGAAAAAGAAGGAAACATATGTCAGGTGTAGACAGCAGAGAGCAACTGAATCCTTAGAAGAGTATAAATTCTTCCTTGTGGCTATCTCTGTCAATTTGATTTTCCCAATCTACACGAAGATTAATGTTATCCATGATTAATGTATTGCCTTTTTTATGTACCCTCATTTTCTTCTGACTTATTCTTTGTTGTGTAGGACAGCTACTTTTCGTGACCTACATTTACTCCCATCAGTGCCTTCTTCCTGTTGTTTTTACTTATCTCCACCCATGTGAATGTTATTCGTTCAAATCCAAGATAATTTCTTGCCATTGTACTTTTTCTATGTTATACTAACAAAGGCACTTTGTCTAGCTGGGACTCTTCTGTGGGTGTTGTTTGCCCAGGGACATAATAACTCATCTGGGAACATCCTCAGGAAACAAAAATACAGGGCCATCCTAATTTATAACAAATTCAAGAAGTGCACAGAATTTTCTATGATTTGTAAAAAAAAATAGGAAAGCCTGAAGCACAAACATTGAATGTGCTATGTAATGAATTTTTATTTTTTTTTTCCCTTCCTACACCCTTACAATGAAGGCCAACACATTTTCCCTCCCCCAGTCCAATGTGTTGCTTC